ACTGGTTTCACCACCAGCATGAAATCATTTTACTCTTCTCCACAAATGAACGAAATGAATTCAGTAGTGCAGTAAATAACTGGGTTGAGGGCAAATCTATATCAGAAATATGAGATGAAGGCGAATAGTTTGGAACACAAGATCTTAACTTTCAAATGCAAATTTTCATGATTGGATTCCAGTTATACATTTTTAGCAAAATCTCTTGATATCTAAGTGATTTTGTGTTCCACAAATAGCAAATGTGGATACACAGTGTTCATTTTTCTCCCATTTTTGTGTAAATTTGATTGTCTAATGAAGGTATTTCTATGCTGCTTAGTTGATATTTTTTTCTATTGCTGCTAACAAGCAGTGAGGAGGGTGACTTCCACACTATGCAAATGTCTTGTTCCGTGTTAATAATTGCACCTTAAATTTGCACCTATCAATGATTTTTACGCCATAGTCTTTACTGTGATGATCACAGAACGGTGATTTTTTTTTCTAGCTCTTACACTTCTTCCTCATATAATTGTCACTTGATATTCTGCTTTTAGCAAGAGCATTCCCTTATCCCCTATTTCTTTCTTTGTTAAAACCTATTATTGCTGTGGATTCTTGCATTCTTAGAAGCTACAGTGATTTATAATTTATTTACTATCCTTCATGATTTTGGTGCTCAAACTGTCGTACTTGACCAGTCCTAGCTTCTTCGGGCTGGCTGTTGTAATATCTACCCCTTGTTATTTATTTTCTTATGAACACAATGGTAGAATAGTTATTTACCCATTTAAGTATTAATTAGAACGGTAGTTGGTGAAGTAAGAATAAGTTAGACTTTTGGAGGGGTGTCCTGTGGTTGGTTTGGTGTCATCTGGGCTTGCATATTATTTCCTCATGCAGCCTGTTACTGACCTTCCTGGGGAGTATCTGAGAATGGGCCGCCACCCTGAAAGCCTCAGAGCCTTTCTTCTGTTGGTCATATGTGCAAACTCAGTGCAGGGAACTCGAATCTAGAGGGTACACTCGGTCATGTGATACAATGTGTACTTTGCTTTTACTTCCATTATATTTTCTTCTCATTGCATGTGATATTTGAAAAATTGTCAGGAAAATTCTATCCTTTTTCCAGTGACATTTGTTGCATTTCACTGTAATCTGCACAGTGTAACCAGAGACGAATAATAGATTATCTTCCACCCAGTTGTTTTATCATCCAATTCCACTTGTAGTAACATGTAGAAAGTGCCTTGTGATTTGGTCATTATTCTATGCTCTCTGGAGATAAGTGTATTGTGATGATCTATAACAAGATATAAGTGGAGAGAATCCTTCTGTATGCTTGATGTTTGGCATATGTTCTGTGCAGCTCCAGAGCTTCCACAGTCTCCCCCTGGATCACATACATTTCTACTGTGAGTTACTGAGGAGCTGTCTAGTTAGAAATGCATTAGTAGTCCAGTGGGGTTAAGGGTGTGGTTCAGTGATGGATCACTTGCCTAACATGTGCCGGGCCCTGAATTCTGTCCCCAGCACCAAAAGGAGATGGGGCCCAGTGATCTCTTCATGCCAATAATATCAACATTTTAAGTCCATTTTTAACATTTTTAGCCAGATGCATATCCTATTTGGTATTCTTCAAAATGTTGGACATACTTGTTCATAGTTCCTAATAATCAGAGTGATATCACTATAAGCTACTATTTGAATTTTGAGAAACACTGACAGTAAACATTGCCTTTAGTTGAGTTCCTGGCTGTGAAGTATGGCTAGGTTTAATTCCCTCGAGCTGCGGTTGTATCTGAGTGATACGCTGGTTGTTTGGCATACCTGCAATCATGAGTTCAATTTCTAACACAAGAAATGCTTTAAATAACAAATTGCTGGGGCTGGGGATTTAGCTCAGTGGCATAAGAACCTGCCTTGTAAGCAGGTGATTGTGGGTTTGATCCCCGGTACCGATAAAAAAAAAAAAATTGCTTTCGTATCGCCACTTCACAATATAACTTATTCAAACTGAGTCACAGCACTGCAGTTGCTGTGAGTTTCTTCCCAAAATGTTGGTTCCAAACCTGAAGGGGAGAAAGGGAAGGACTGGCGCAGTGTGCACAGCGGCGTGGCTTCCTGTTGGGGCATGCACTTAGTTCTGCTCCATTTGAATCTGGGCTGTGCTTTCTCAGCTCCACCCTTGAATGTTTTCAGAGTTTTCCCTTTGCAAATGTGATTTATAGAAAAAGTTAGTTACAAGACTAAACCAGTAGGTGCAACATGAAGTAATACTTGCTGTATTTAAGATTAAACTTCTGCAGATTAAACAGAAACGTCATTTTTGTATTTTATTTCAAGATATGCTTTGGCAGCTTGCATAATCACAGCCAAGGTGTGTTTTTTATGACTGAGGACTCAGTGGCTGCTGCTCTGAGGCTGCCTTTGGAACTCCACGAGCAGTAAGGGACAAGAATAACAAGGTCAAAGGTTCCTTTCCTGCTGCAGTGAATGGGCTGTTTCATGGAGCCTTGGCCTGCGGCAGCAGAAAACCCAGGAGCAGAGTGCAGTGCAAGGGGCGGTGCGCAGGGGCTGGGCTGCAGAGGACACAGCACCGAGTTTAACAGGTCCATATCCACAGGCGCTTCCACAGCAGCACACTGGGCGCTTCTCAGAGCTCACTCTGTAGGTTGTGGAAGCAAAGTTCATGAAAGGGAACACAGTCTGAGAAACAAATGTGATTGCCTTGCTTCTAGCCTGAATTGCTCTGAGGATTTAAGCCCAATGATTTTTAGACATTTTTTTTCTAAGTAGATCTGACTTGCCAAAAATAGAGTGCTTACTTTTCAAAGAATTGAAGTGGGTTTTGTTTTCCATCTCCAACAAGGAATTATTTAGGGGTTTAAAATAAATATATCTATACAATTTATTGGTATTTTGGTATCTGAAATGTCTAAATGATAACCACATGACATATTAATGTAATTATATTCTTGGCCATGTGAAGAATTCCTGTTTGTTTGTTTGTTTGGTACTAGGGATTGAACCCAGGGCCTTTACATTGAACCATATCCCCAGCTCTTTTTTTTATTTCAAAATAGGATCTTGCTAAGTTGCCCAGGCAAGACTCAAACTTGGGAGTCTCTTGCCTTAGCTTCCCCCCATGCTGGAATTACAGACTTGTGTCACAAGGCTCAGCCTGTTTTGTTTTATTTCATACTGAATTTTGGGTCATCGTACTTAAGGATGTAGAGAGCGTCTGAATTTGATGGGTGAGGCCTGAAGTGTGGGGAATGATTCTGCTCTTGTTCTCACTGACCCAGCAGGCTGTCCTGTTAGAGCTTAGGCTGTAGGATGTTTCACTCTACCTCACCAGGTTATGTACGTACAGGATATTCTCTGTCCCTATCATCATTCATGGATGCTATGGCTTGTCACCCAGGAGCCACTTTGTCAGGAACACCATGGGGGGAAAACAGGGGATTAACCTACTATATTTGCATTTAGAAAGATTCCTGATACCTGTGAAGATGACCTAAAAGAGGACACACCACGTGTCCATAGAGATAAAACAGGTTTGACCCAGGCAGAGAGTCCACAATGGGAAAAGAGGACCTCATAAGGGCCCAGCTGGCAGGGTTTATGTGTGGATGGGAAGAGACCCCGCCCTCCCCCTGGTGAACAGACCTGGATGAGACATGTCATTCCCACATGTCTCCTACCTGGTCAGGAAGGGAGACAGCCTGGGAAAGGCCAGCACTGTTGTTGCCTGAGGAAGGAGGATGAGTAAGGGGCATGTCCCACCCTAGAGGCAGCCCACACAGTGACACGCTGCCATGCACTGCAAATGAGTCTCCTTATGGTTGTGACACATAGGTGAGAGGTTCCCCACCCTGTGACTGGCTGGCAACCACAAGCTGGGGTTAGGGAATACCCATAGCCGATGAGGTCACTTGTACACGTGAGACATGAGGTGCCTAATGAAGTGGATGTGTTGGATGAAGGTTGGATTTCTGAGTAGGAAGATGAGGGAAAGGGCAGGCTGAAGAGTCAGCTGTCTTCAAATGCTCCTAAGACAAGCCATGCTGGAGTCACCTGTGTAGGGGTGTAGCAGCTCAGGACAGAGTCTGCGCTGTATATTCTCTTTCCCCACATTATACCAGTTCTTTGTTTTTGTTTTTTGAAACAGAATCTCACTATAGTTCAGACTGGCCCCTTGCCTCTACTTTCTAAGTTCTGGAATGACATTTGCCAGTCTTACTGTTGTTCATCCTGTCTTTCAGCTCACCAGAATTTTTTTTTCCTCTGGCCTCTGACCAGCAGGGTGATCCACTAGCACCCTCTGGTGTTGCTGGGTGTGAGTGGTTCCAAATGATTCTCTATATTTCCCACCAATGTCTTTCTCAAAGAAAAGTGTGCCACCAACCACAAAAGAGATGAACCCTGCACCCCAGTGGGTCTTACTACCACTTTCTGACATGAGACTCCTTTGTCTTGAAATATTCTCCTCTGTCTCACATGACTGTACCATTTCAGAGAAGTGATGTCACCCCAGGAAATCCAAGGCAGAACGCTAACCCTGCTGCCATGTTCCCTAGTATTGATGTGTTCCAGAGCACTTCAAGAGCTCAAATGAGAAAAATGGCCACTTTCTCTTGTAACTGGCAGATAATCAGGTTAAGGATTAGATAAAAATAAATCATATAGTTCCTATAGTTAGTTACTGTGATGAGTGAGGAATCTTTGAATATTTCAAAAAAATAAGAATATTTCATAATTAAATCAGATACCTAGAACCTTAGGGAACAAGTAAAGGAAAAAACAATGAATCTGAAGACAGAATGGATATTATTGAGGTCGTGGAGTAAGTTTATTCTCAGCTGTTGCCTCTGGAACTCATCCCTAGGGACCTAGTCCCATTCCTGATGTGTCTCGGGGCAGAAGCGTCCTGCGTTTCCTTCCACCATGTGCTTCCCTTCCTATTTTTGCAAACTTGGCTATGGCTTCCCTAACATGTCTGATTTTGCCCACAGGCCATGTCCTCATAGAGATTTCGAGCACCCACAAGAAACTCAATGAGACCCTTGATGAAAACGTATGTGGACTCTTTTTATATTTGCAAAATGTTTTTATTTTTTAAATTTTGACAAAGCCTCAACGCTGGTGTAAATTTTTTACTTCCTCTTGTGAACAGTTCAAAAAATTCCATAAGGAGATCATCCATGAACTGGAGAAAAAAACAGACCTTGATGTGAAATACATGAATGTGAGTGCACAGTTTCCTCCACCCTGCCCTGCCAGCCCAACTTACGAACTGGAAGAGAATTTTCCCACTGTGGTCCACAGCAGCAATGGGGGTGGAATATGGTATTGTTACAGGTGTGGATGTGTGAAGGTCCCTTTGGGCTCAGTGGGCCTGTTTTTGCTACCACTTGGAGTCTGCATTAAAAGGATAGAAACAAATGTTGCAGAAAAGCTTGCTGCTTCTGAGAGCACTGTTTTCAGAGCACATGGCTGTGAGGCAGGACATGTGTGTCCCTATTCTGCAGCTGGTGCTTTCACAAACCACTTTAGGATTTGAGTCACACATGGGAGAACTAGGGTCCTCTTGCCCATCAACCACCACCGTCCATCTTAGGGTTCTTCACTTCTAGCGAGGTACCGGGCTGTTTCCATCTTCCTCTTCTGCTGTAGAATGCTTGCCCAAAGTCCCCTTTCTTACCAGGATTCCCCCATGGCAGCAAGCAGTAGGGTTTACCCAGAACCAAGCTGTTACCAGGCCTGTTACCCAAATGCTACACGTACGTGCTGTGTACGTTACCCAATTTTTAACTACTACCAGCACCTCAAGACAGATACCTTTATTATCCTCACTTTACAGATTAGAGGGAAAACATGAATTTTAGAGAATTTAAATAATTGCTGAGATTACACAAGTAATGGGAGCTGTTAGTCTTCAGATGCTGTGTTCTTAATATTCTGCTATATACCAAGAAGCAGCCCCCCTAAAATGTAAGCAGTGTGAGCAGTTTATGCCATCTTTTAAAATTTACATCATAAAACAACCAGAAACATGTGATTTAATATTTTTTATATATTCATCAAAGCATTTATTACCCAGCATCCAAAAACCACTGAAGAAAGGAAGAATGAAAGAAAAGAAACCACTGTCCTCCGAGAGCTGCCCTTCTGGTCCATGGCCTCTGGTGTGAACAGGGAACCTTAGAAGCAACAGCCCTGCCATGATTAAGTTGGATGGAGAAGGGTGGGTGAGGCGTGAGTGTGAGGGCCCCGCAGGATAGGGCCACGTGGAGAGCAAGTGTGTGAGGGCCGCAGTCCCACACAGTGGCAATGTGAGCAGAAGCAACTGCGACAGCATGGTTGGTGCTACAATAACATAAACAACACTGACTTTACAGGCAACTCTTAAAAGATACCAAGCAGAACACAAGAGCAAATTAGATTCTTTGGAGAAATCTCAAGCTGAATTGAAGAAGATCAGAAGGAAAAGTCAAGGAGGACGGAATGCACTAAAATATGAACACAAAGAAACTGAGGTAACGTTTTTGGCCATATTCCCTTTTCTTTTGCCGTTGGTCATTGTCTGTACAACTTAACAGGACACTTACTTCTGTCATTCTGTACTTTATCCCCTTGCTGTTGTACTGGGGCTAAACGTAAAAATCAGCACTCTGACTTGGGAAGAGCAGAAGGCTGCAGAGTGTTATGCAGTTAAGATAACTGTTCTGTAGTCTCCTAAAAACGTTGCTCAGTTCGGGTTACAACTTGGTCTAATGTTTATCTTTGTTTAGTGTTTACTCCATTATCAAAATAAGCCAATGTAAAGGTGGCAGAAGACAGATGTCAGGCTGTACAGCTATCTGATGCCTCATGTCGAACCTATCTGTGTTATTTTCCTAGTATATAGAGACTGTTACTTCTCGCCAGAGTGAAATCCAGAAATTCATTGCAGATGGTTGCAAAGAAGCTCTGCTTGAAGAGAAAAGACGCTTCTGCTTTCTTGTGGACAAACACTGTAGCTTTGCAAATCACATACACCATTATCACTTACAGGTGAGTGCAACAGAATCAGTTCTCAATAATTGAGAAATGATACCTTCTTCCTTTTCTCACCTGAGTCAGCTTTCTGTAGTCTGACTTGCCTTTAGCAGGGCCAGCTCCTGGGTGTTCTGTGTGCATCTGGAGGCAAGAGGGATGTCACTGGCAGCTGTGCCGCACACCACACCCCCAACAGGACAGTTGATCCTCTGCTTTTCAGGTTGTCCACTCATGCTTCCCTCAGCTGAGTGACTTAGTTCCCTCCTCCTATCACAAGCAGCTGTGAGCTTAGAGCCCAAGAGCTATAATACAACAAGGGTTAAATTTCTCTTTTTAAAAAATGTATGGATTCTCCTGGGCCTGTGTAAGAATCTAAAACTAGCACTAATTGACGCCAGCTATTTAGTGTTGCTTCTAATAAAGTAATTTAGAGAATCATCTGCAATATGAGAAGCTTTCCAAGAATTTAGACTTAAGTTCCTCTCTTAAGCCTTGGTCTTATGTTTATGCATGCATATGTTATATATTCTAGAAAATACTTAAGATCTAAAATTGTTATACAAAAGGAAAAACTTACCATATTATCATTTTTCTCCACTATGTGTCTATACTAGTTAAAGCAGTGCTTTAGAAACTTGTTTGCATGGTAAAGGCCTCCTTGCAGCAGACTTGTAGCTTCTGAGGTGTAGAAATGTCCTTGAATCTTCCTTTCTATGACATACTCCTCTATATGATGAAGCAACTATGGCTATTTTTAGTTATTGGCAAAGTCTTTCTTACCTATAACTTCGGTTCCCAGTTAGCTTTGTAGAATGGTACAAACCAAGTCTACTTCTTTCTTTATTGGAAGTTTCTGCAGTTATCTATTAAGTTTTTTTGTGGCTTCTTTAATATCCCTAACACATTCTAGTACTTTCTGTGGCTCTTGGATGAAGCAGGCCCAAGCACTTGGCCCACAGGGTTGCAGTGCCCCAGTTTGTCAGAGTAAGAGCCAAGGCTAGAGATGGTATCAAGGAAGGGCCTTCTCTCTAAATCCATGGTCCCAGCAACCCATGCCAGACCTAGCATTGGGTAAGAATGGGGTGAATGCCTTGCACGGCATTTCAGGAGAGGCCCCTCCTTCTCTCTTCCAGCCATATTGCTATTCTGGAAAAGGCATTCACTGGAAGGCTACAGGGCCTCTGAGAGTCCTATTGCCAGAAGCAGAGCTAGGCATGTAGGAACAGAAGAGCCACCTCAACCTCTAGCATGTGGGTCTCAACTGTGCCCTTTCTGTCTGCACTGCAGCCCAGCTGGCCTGCAAAGCCTCAGCCTGTAGCTGTGTGTCTCCCGTGCTCTCTGATGCTGCACTACCTGTAGTCCGTCAGTCATGTTGATGGATTTCCTGGAACAGAATCTGATTCACTTGTCTGACACGTGCATAAGTTTCTCTGAGGTCAAAGAGGCAGCTCTCGGGCCTCATCTATGATGGAAACACTACTTTTTGAGGGGGTGGGAGGAAGAGACGGTGTCATTTCTGGGGACACCTGGAAATCGTAGGCTTCATACAGATTGCTAGATTGCTGAATCCTGGGGCAAGGGATGGCATACTGGGAACTGAATCTAGCACCTCACACATAATAGGCAAGAGCTGTTTCACAGAGCCACACACCCAGTTCCTGGATTGATTTTTAGTCATTTATGATCCTCACACTAATTCTAAGTTCTATATTTGCACTAAGTGGGCAGGTAAGCTTCTTGAGTGCATGAGCCTGCGTCCACCTCAGCAAATGAGATATAGCAGCTGCTCACAGATGCTTAAACTGCTTGCTGAATTACACTCTAGCTCCCACCCTTCTGATGGTAAGCCAGTACTACGTTCAGCAATGTTATCAGTGACATTATTTGATACAATGTTGTCAGTTCTTCAATGTGCCTTTGTCTTTATGTTGTTTCTTTTGGATTTGTAGTCAGCAGAATTACTTCATTCCAAACTGCCCAGGTGGCAGGAAACCTGTTGTGATGCCACCAAGGTGCCAGAGAAAGTCATGAACATGATAGAAGAAATAAGGACTCCATTCTCTACCCCAATATCTGGGACACCTCAGCCATCACCTATGATCAAGAGGAGCAATATGGTAGGAACCAGTTGCTCGTCTCAATTTCAGTTGTGTTTTTACCAATAGAGTTTGGGCTAAATTGAGGCCAGAGGATCAAGGCTGCCTGGTGTGAAATCATGAGCCTTTCTTTCCTACTCCTAAACCTGCCTTCCTCACCTTTACCTTTACCTTAGATTTGGAATTAGCTTTGCAAATGTTTTATATTACTCTTAATGCTAATATCTTTATTTTAGAAATATTATTGTTACTGTTTTTAGCTGTAATGAATCCAACTATAAATTTATTTCCAGTGAAGGAAATAGATGTCTTAAGAGAATAGAGTGGTAAACCCCAGTGTCATTTATCATAAGTCGCTTCAGGCAAACAAAGTATTCAAGGTAATGAGGCTTTGTAGTTTGCTGTCATTTGACCCTGGTCTTTATTACTGTTCACAACACATGGAGGGTGGTCTTTGGACCCAGCAGGCAGTTTAAACACATGGATCCCTCATACCTGTCTTTGACTTTAAAGTCTAAAGAAGGTGCTGTCAGTGGACCAGAAACACTGCAGGAGTCACTAGAAGAGTGAGTCAGAACCAGAAATGCTGAAGGAGTCTTTGAAGGAGAGAGAAGCAGGATGGGCACGTAGAGGATCAGAGTGGGAGGACCCTCAGCCCCAAGCACATGGGATGCAAACCTGCTCCTAGGAGCAGTGAGGGCAGAGTCACCAGACCAAGTTGGAGAGGAACTGGACCATCCCTTTATGTAGCCAGTCACTTTCTTCCCCTTGTGCTACATGTGCCAAACAACAAGCTCAAAGAGTGTATAACCAAGGGGCAGAGCATGCTCCCAGAAGCTGCCCCGCCTCCTCCCCATGTCACCATGGTGGTCTGTGGTTGTGAGGATAGACCAAATACAGTGAAAAGAATGGGGACTGCCACAGAATGAGGAGGGACAATGGAGAGGCATAGACCGTGAGGAAAGCCCACAACAAAAGCAGCAGCTAAATGAAACCCAGCTTGACCAATATTAGAGGCAACAGAAATCTTTAGAAGAAAGGCTATTATGTTCACAACGAAGAATCCACAAGGGTTCTTGGGAATTAAAAAGTGAATTATTATTTGTAGTTGAAATGACATATGTGGAATTTTCTTCAAAGTAATGCAGGCAGAGTTTGGGAAGGTGGGTAAGGTTATGCATGAAACAAGGTTGGCTATGAATTCATTATCATTGAAGCTAGGTGTTGGCTTCAAAAAGATTTCTTATGCTCTTGTCTCCTACTTTTGTACATTTGAGTTTTCTAAAACAGAAAGTTTTTATGTTTTGTTTTTTAGTTAGTTTCTTTTCCTTCACCCTTGCCTCCAAATACCATCACCAATAGATGGGCTTTTAGAAGAACATAGCTGCTTGGAAAACAGAGCCAAAGAATTCTCCCAGAGCACAGTACAAAGATAGAGAAAGCTTTTTTAAATAAGGCAGATTGAGGCATGGATGATTTTCACAACTGCCCACTCAGTGTCACCACCTGGGTGATCAGCAAGGCTCTCAAATCTTCCTTGCCCAAAACCAGAGAACTGGTTTTCTGACCCTAATCCTGCCTTCTCCAGTCTTCTTCACCCAGTAAGTGGCAGCCTCATCCTTCTAGTGACTCAGACACAAAACATCATCTCTCTCTCTTAAACCACAAAATTCCATTGGCACGTCCCCTTTTTGCCTCAAAAGCACACCCCAGGTCCACCTGTGTCCTGCCCCCTAGCCTTATAAACACTGTCATTATGGAGATTACTGCATTGGCCTTTTGACTGGTTGTTTAGTTGTTTGTTTGTTTGTTTTCAGACAGGGTCTCAATATATAATTCAGGCTATTCTTGAACTTGCTATATAGCCCAGGCTGGCCTCAAACTCATGATCCTTCTTCCTCAGCTTGCTGAGTGCTGGGATTATAGATGAGCACCGCCACACCTAGCTTTTCTGCCTGGTTTTGAATTGGCTATAGGGATCTAACATCTGCATAGTTAGGGCTTCATTTGAGAATGTTAGATGGAGAGAAGCCTGAAATCTTTTTAGTGGGGAGGAATTCTACTTACAAAGAAAAGTGATACCAGATTTCTTTTAGCAAAACAAGATGTCAGAAATTAGTGGAAGAATAGTTTCAAAATTCTGTGGAAAAATTATCTTCAATTTAGATTCCTATAGCCAAGTTGCACTTAAGCAGGGGCCTATAATCAAGAGACAGAAAGCACATTAATGGTTGCTGGAGAGGAGCTGCTTTGGGGTAGGCGGATGGGGTAAAAGTATGTGATACCAACCAGCCCCTTTCATTGCTGTGTTACTCTAAAGTTAGACTAATAAAAAATTTTTTACAGGATGAGAAAGAGTATGACTCCCTTTCTAACTATTCACCAAAGATGCCTCCAGCCACTTCAGCCAAAGACTATACCAGTCCTTTAGTTGATATGTTCAATAACCCAGCAACAGTTGCACCAAAATCAGAAAAGATAAATAATGCAACAGGTAAGACATCTAGTTTGATGTTTTTGTTTGTTTTTAGACTTTTGAGATAGGGTCTTGCTAGGTTCAGGCTGACCATGAGCCCACAGTGATTCTCCTGCTTCATTCTCCCAAATGCTAGGATTATATGTACCACCACACCCAGCTCTTTGATTTTCAAAGGTACCTTTTTTAAAAATTTTTAAAAAGTAAATACTTGAAATTTAAAAGTTTGTTAAACATTTTGCATAAATGTAAGGGGGAGATAAATAAACAGGTATGATAGATATTGTCTAGATCTGGTTTTGAGTATCTTACGCCTCCAGAGATCTAGACTGGAAGACATTTTGACAAGTGAAATATTTCCATGACCCTTACAAGTTCTATATACTGGTGAATGCTTACAAAGAGTAAAGCTGCTACTGAAAAGTACACATGCTGATACTCTGAGATTCTTGGGAGGTTGAAGCAGGAGATCTCAAGTTTGAGACCAACCTGGGGAATTTAGCAAAACCCTGTCTCATAGTAAAAAGAGCTGAGAATGAAGGTCAGTAAGAGGCCCTGGATTTAGTCGCCTATACTGCCTATACAAGAAAAAAAAAAACCCTGAAAAATGTCAGTAAATAATTGGAATAGAATGTACATAGCCTCACACTGTATTCCATATTTGGTGACTATAATAAAAAAAGGTTTTCAGTAAAACAAACTAAAAGTTCATATGACAAAATTATGATTGCTAATCTTAGCAACAGGCTTAATTTGAAATTTCATCAGCATTTTTCATCATCCCTGACAAGGTGTATCTCATGCTAACTACTTAAGTTTCTCAAGTACTGACTGTATTTCAACCAATCAGGACCAGTTACTATTTGTAGACATTTCCTGCTTCTCTTTTTAGGCTCCACTCTTCCAACAGTCTGTAGCACCCAGGACCCTCAAGACCTGTGTCATGGCTCTTGATCTGCCTGTGCAGGGTGTCATAGGCCCTTTCAGTATGAATGTGGCTGTGATCAAGTTGTCTGCTGGCAAGAGCTTACAGATCATAGCATTTGAAGCTGTCAGACAAAATATAAAAGATTGCCAAAATGGCAGTAAGGATTGCTGTAGCTAGGGAAAAGGATAGCCTGTAGTTATTGCTTTCAAAGGAAACAATGAGCTGGGTAAGAAATACTGTTAATGTATCTAATACTCTGTAGCCTCAAATGACTCCAGTTCTTTTTGGTAAAAGCTAAGTGAAAATTACTAGTGAGTTCAATATTACTGAGGTAATCAGAGAGTGGCAGGTTAAGGAGACAGCAACGTTTATATTGCAGTTACTAAGCTGTAAAAATAAAGCCAAGGGGCTGGGGATTTAGCTCAGTGGCATAAGCGTCTGCCTTGCAAGCAGGCAGTCATGAGTTCGATCCCCGGTACCGATAAAAACGAAAAAGATAAAAAAAATAAATAAAGCCAAAAGCAATCTTGCATTGCTTTGTATTAAATGTCCATCCCAGTTTGTGTTTCCTGTAGTGGGAACTGTTAGCCTGAGGTTGAGCTGAGCATGACTCTCAGCAGCATAGAGCCCACAAGAGAAGGCTGTGGGCTTGGCTTCTACAGAGAGTGTCTGGTGTGCCTCTTGCTGGCTTTGTGATCCTGACCAGCCTTGGAACTCTCTCAGGCTGTTTCCACATCTGTCAGTGTCAAAAGTAACTGTACCTTGTTCTGTGTGGAAGGACAGCAGAGTTGGTCGACTGGCGGTTCAGTAGAGGAACCTCAACTCCTCATCCTTTCTATGCTTGAGGAGAAAAGGCAGAATGTCCACGTTTCCAGTTTCCTTCTCGTCCTCATGGCACAAGACATTGGCTGGTTTGAGCTATTGCCTCAGTTGCCTTTTATTTTATTTTATTTATTTATTTTTTTGAGACAAGGTCTTGCTAAGTTGCTAAGCAGCTCAAGAAACTTGGGATCCTCCTCCTCAGCCTGAGATTACAAGTAGGTGCCACCGTGCCTAGCTGCATCCTTCTCTTAATAGGTTCCCTGCAGCCACAGCCTTCCTCTATCACAATTAGAGTTTCCATTGTGTGTGTTGGGGCAGGATTTGGGAGTGGGTATTTTTCTGGAGTTGTCCCTTTTGAACTTCTCTGTTGAACACTCTGAAAAGCCCTTGCTGCCACATTTCGCTTTAACAGACACTTCAGAAGATGCGAGTTTACAGAGATCGGTTTCGGTTGCCACTGGACTGAACATGATGAAGAAGCAAAAAGTCAAGACCATTTTCCCACACACTGCTGGCGCCAACAATACCTTACTCAGCTTTGCACAGGGCGACATCATCACGCTGCTCATCTCCGAGGAGAAGGACGGCTGGCTCTATGGGGAGCATGATGGCACCAAAGCGTGAGTCACCGTGAGCCCTTCTGCACAGGGTGCACACCAGCCTGGCTTCAGAGTCTGTGCAGTTCAGTTGCAAAGTGTCAGTGTACTTCAGCTGAAGCCAGGTTTATGGTGCAGTTAGCCGGACTTACTCCATGCCAGGCTGACTTTGGTGTATTTGTGCAGATTCAGATAAGTTTGGTATAGAATAGATCGTTAGATCACATGACATCACCTCTAATAGGGCTTAAATATTTTTGTGTCCTCTTAAAATATGTGGCACTTGCCAGTGGTGATGCCTGCCTGTAATCAGGGCACTGAGGAGACAGGCAAGAGGATCACAAGTCTGAGGCCACCCTGGGCTGAATAGTGAGTTCAAAGCCAACTTCAACTACATAGGGGCTCAAAAAACAAAAATAAATAGTAACTTTTGATTTCTCAGGGGTAATGTGCATATTAAGTACACTTTAAAATTTAAGATATAGGGGTTGGGGATATAGCTCAGCAGCACAAGTACCTGCCCGGCAAGCGCATGGTCATGAGTTCGATTCCCAGTACCAAAAAAAAAAAAAAAAAAAAAAAAGATTTAAGGTATAATTTAAATGTCACCCTCAACATTTCAGCCACTGGTATGCACATAAGCCTTGTGGTCCTAGGTTTTCAGTCTGTATTCAGATACATAAAATAAAACTAATATAAAAATAAAGGAGTTAGATGTGTGCTGGCGCATGCCTATAATCCCAGGAAGCTGAGGAAGGAGGATTGTCACAAGTTCGGGGCAGTTTGGGATACATAGTGAATCAGGCTGGCATGAACTACATAGTGAGACCCTATCTCAAAAAATAAATATAAAGGGTAACCAAATAACACGAATGCTGTATGCAAAAGGGCACATTATTATGTGGATGTGAAGTGCACTTACATAAAAGCTCCATTTCATTCGGTCCACTTAGGGACCTTCCTGACAGGCCTGCCTGAGCTATGCTACAGATCCCCCTTACTGCAGGTACTGCTTCCACCTTCCTCTGATGCCACAAACAGGCCTCTTTCTCACTTTTCCTTTGCAGGAAGGGTTGGTTCCCGTCTTCGTATACAAAGTTGCTGGAAGAAAATGTGAAGGAACCGGTGACTGTGCCCACTCCAAGGTAGTGAATGTGACCCAGGACACATGTGGCGTCATGTCTCATCATAGCCCAGACATGTAGCAACCCCGATGTGAAACCTCAGGCCTCGTGGAGTAGACACCATTGCAGCTCCATAGAGATTTCCGTGGCCCCAGCCTTTACTGGCCGTCTACTGAGAGGAGAGTGACCCAGACCACTTGCTCTTCGCCCCACTCCTGCCTGCTCCCTGCTGTCACACTCAGAGCTCTCAGCCCTCATGGTCTCCATCTTTACCTTCCTCAGTAGCCCTTAACACTGCTGAACGCTGCCATTTCTGCTCTCCGCCTCAGGCCCCTTCCATCTCCTCTCTGCCCACTGCTTAGACAGTGCTGCTCCTCACGCGGGATCCATCCTCCGTCCTTTCCCTTGTCAGTACTTTCTCAGCCATCTCACACACTCCATGGCTCTGACTACATCAGGGCCCTCAGCTGGCGCCTTTGTGCTGATAATCTGTCTATTTTAAAATTAGCTGTCAGGTGGAAGATTTAGCTCAGCAGCATAAGCACCTGCCTGGCAAGCACAGGCTGTGTTTGATCCCCAGTACTACCAAAAAAAAAAAAAAAGTTGGGCTGGGGATGTAGCTCGGTGGCACAGTGCCTGCCTGGCAAGCACAAGGTCCTGAGTTCAATTCCTGGTGCCAAAAAAACCAAGTAGCTGTCACTTAGAGGCTGTCCAAAGTACTTTACCTTGACTAGCCCACTTCATTCTCACAATCATCCCATGAAATAAGCCCCTACTTTAAAACTGAGGAAATGGAGACATGAAACATTTAAGTTGCTAAGAAATAACCTGGGAAGAGCTCTTCTGGGCCTGGGTATGGGTTCAGATGTGCATTGGGTGTATTTAGATGTGTATCAGGTGGTTGTAGTGGGCTGTCCCTTGGGCCCTCAGGAACTGGTCATCCTTACCCTAAACTACTCCATGCTTGCTCAGTGTTCTTGTCTTGGATTAACGCCACCCCCCCACCCCCGCCCGCAGTGCTGACAGACCCCAGAATACCACGAGCAATGTCTCTTAGGTCCTCCCCTTGTTGGAGTCTTCATCCCTAGTGGTATGGCTAAAGTGCCTTTGTGTCAGAAAATTTAAAAACTAAGTATCATTTTTAAGATTTAAAAAATCTTAGGGCCCAGGGCTTTAGCTCAGTGGCACAAGTGCTTGCCTAGCAAGCACAAAGTCATGAGTTCGATCCCTGGTACCAAAAAAAAAAAAAAAAAAAAAAGGATTTAAAAAATCTGAGTCTTAATCAGGCATGGTGGCACATGCCTATAATCTCTTGGCAGCTGCTCAAGAGATTGCGGCAGGAGGGTCACTAATTGGAAACCAGTCTGGGCAGTTTAGCAAGATGCTGTCTCAGATGGAGCTCAGTAAAAGGACAGCCCCCAAAAACAAAAAATCTGAGCCTTAAAATTTTTTATTGTAAAACCTTCAGAAGGAAAGGAGGATGTTTTGTGGACCATGGGGGGGCGGGGCGCAGTTTTTAAGTTACTAGTTTTGAAAATCAGCACTTATTAATGGAAACAACTTGATTAAAAAACTGTCACAATTTTGAGGCCCATTGAAACAGTTTAATGAGAGAAATAATATTTTAACTTTAAATGCTCAGTGCTTGCTCAATTTTTTGTTGATATCCTTAAATTACTTAACAGCCAGCCCCTAATTAAACTCATTTTCGTTTCCTGTCTTGTCATGCCCTTTAAAGAATTTCTTTTGAGTAGACGTTTATAATCCAGTGAAAGCATGACAGTGCTTTGTGTAATGTGTATGTCACAGTCCCCTTCTGCTGCACACTTTTTGACGGCGGCCTCCTGTTACTGTAGTCCTTGGCCGTGGGACGTTTGGGCACTGGGGGGCCAGGTGGCAGGACTGTTGTCTGACTTTGCTCTTTATCTTGGCCTCGAGCCCTGCCCCGGTGAGAAGCATCAGCACTGTGGACCTGTCTGAGAAGAGCAGCGTCGTCATCCCCCCGCCTGACTACCAGGAGTGTCTCTCCATGGGGGCTGCTGCCAGGAACCAAGCAAATGTTGCCAAAAACACTTCTACGTTCAGAGCTTCGGCATCTAAACCAGAAACCAAGTCTCCTGTGAGTATATGTGGCTTGCTGCCCTGCTCTCCTAAGGCACAGACCGTGTGCCCACATGGGGATAGGGATACTTTCTCCTCAGCCCTTCTGGATTCCCTTCGTCTGCATACACCTTTACCCTCCCTAACTTCAGGTCTTTGTTTTTGCTGTATCTTGTCAGTGACTTGTTTATTGGTGGTAGGTAGTTGTTGGCTACATTTTGTTAAGGCTTTCATCTCCCAGCCTTTGGTCACAGCTGTGGTCTTTCAGTCATTTAATGCCCTTCTCTGCATTGTCTTCCATTTCCTGTTGTGTTCTGGAGAGGCCTGAGGTCAGTGTTTGCTCTGTACAGCCAATGGGTGAGCACTGTGCATGGACTAACCGTAAACTACCCTAAGGACAGGAAAGCTCACAGGCCTGAGGTGCACCGCATCCTTCCTGCACCAGCTGTGGGGCTCTGTGGGCCCGGCCAGTGTGGGGCTGGAGGTGTAGAGACAATAGGTCAGGTCCTGGTTCCTTAGGAGTTTGTGTCCTGGTGATGGGAAGCACACGAAAAAATAAGCCAAGATAAATTAGAGATGAAAGCCTTGCCCAAGATGAAAACAAGTGTGGTGACAGTGGAGGAGTAGATGTGCCAGGGTAGGTTTGCAAGGAGTGAAGACCCAAGATGGCGAGGAAGCAAGTTGGGCCCATAGGCACGTGCTGAAAGAGCAACGCTTTCTGAAGAGGAGAGGGCAGAGCACGACAGTGTGCACAGCTGTGCACATCTCTGAGGAGGTGTTACTTCTACTGTACTGTCACCTATCATTTAATGACAGGATTGGTTCTCTGAGATGTGTTGTTGGCTGTGCGTGATGGCACATGCCTGTAATCGCAGCACTTGGGAGACTGAGGCAGGAAGATCACTGCAAGTTTGAAGCCAGCTTGAGCTACATAATGACTGGAAGGCAAGCGTGAACTACGTAATGAGACCCTGTCTCAAAAAAAACCCAAAAAGCAAAAGATGTATTAGTGATCTTGTGGTTGTGTGAGCATCATACAGTGTGCCATACATGAAAGCTGTGATCTGTATAGAACACACAGTCGTATTTGAACCTATCGTTCATGCATCACGTGACATACATGGCTGTAAGTAGTTAGAGTTGACTGGGGTGCTAGTGCTGGCGGGGGTGTCATGGATGTTTGCACAGGCAGGATTGTGGTGTCCCAGGCTGCAGAATCCACACTGTGTAAGGAGGCTAACAGAAACATGAGTGGGCTGGGGGAACATCCCCTCCAGCTGCATCATCACCAGAGGAGAGAGGATTGGGAGGAGCAGAGGTGGGGAACAGGCTGGACTCCTGAGGGTGCACCCCCGCGAGCAAGCATCCCAGGACCAGGTGGAATGCGGCCTGCCCGGCCTCTGCTCCCTCCCTCCCTTTCCTTGCTGGCTCCCCTAGACACTGTGGTAGCCGGGTACAGCAGGTAGTTTTAGTTCATATTCTTTTATTGCTTATCTTTTCATTATTTCAGCTACTGTGAAGACCTTTCTTTAGCTGTGTAGCACAAATACAAGTACCTGCCCACTTCACATGGGGTGTGGCTTCACAGCTCCACTGCCCTCAGAAACAAGTGACTGGTGGCCTTGTTTAGGAGTAAGCAGTGTGCTCCAAGAGTCTCTCAATTACATGAAGTAGGCTTTCCACTAAAAAATGTTGTACTTTTACCAGGAGCCTTAAGGAGCTTGGAACGCCCATGTTCTGAACTGCTAATGTTTCAGTGGTGGTCACCTCCTCCCTAGGCTACCACTGCATGTTCTCGTCCAGGAAACAGGAGCTTCTGAAATCTCAGAACATTTTGGGCTTCTCTTCCTGGGTGAGGACACTGTACATATACTGTTTATACTTTTAATCATTTCAGTTTACGCTAGGTACAGTGGACCCTTGATTTATGAACTCAGTTCATTCACAGAGCCTGGCTATAACTCAAGCTGGTTGTAAGTCAAGACTATTTTCCCATAAGAAACAATGGAGATGCCCATAATGTGTTCCAAAACTCCCAAAATGCCACTTAACCAGCCATTTCATTAAAAGGAGTTATATAACGTGCATAACTTACCAGAACACCAATAACTTTCCTACATATTCATCAAAAAGTTATAAAATGTGCCTAGTTTACCAGAAACAACAATTTCACACTGTACTCACCATTACAGTTGGCTTCTTTGGCTTGCAGGGAGGGAGGGTGAAATTAAGGAGAGTCCATAAGAATGTCAGGAACCTGGCCCTTGGTGTCCCTTTTCGCCTTGAGAGACTCTGTAGCCCACTAGCACCTGCTCTTCAGAAAACTCCTCACTGCCATTCTTTGTTGCTCAGCCAGAAGCTGCTGAAGTTCCTCTATAGACAGGTCTGCTGAGCATCCCTCCTCCAGGTCCTCAGCACCACCACTGTGTACCTGCAAGCCTGTGGACTCTGCTATAGTGACAGTGTCAGCTGAAGGCTCTGGGTCCTCAAAGCCTTCAAAGTCTCTGACCTGTATAATTTTAGGCCACACTTTCTTCCAGGAAAATCTCAATATCGTCAGAGGGACATTGGCCCAGAATTTCCCAATAACCCCACATTGGAAAGGATGTTTAATGTTCCTTCCAGAACTCTTTAAGGGTTAAATCTGTATCTGAGACCATCTGGAAGGACTTCAGAAACAGTTTCTTGGTGTGTAGCTTCTTAAAGTTAGCTATAACATGTTGGTCCATAGGCTGCAATAAAGGAATTGTATTAGGTGGGAAGAACTCAACTGAGAACCATGGGAATTCTTCAGCCAGTTCTTTGAAATCTCATGGTGAGCAGGAGCATTGCCCATGATGAGGAGAGCCTTGAGTGGTAAACCTTTGTCCTCTTGATATTTCTTAACAGGACAAAAAACCTCCCTGATACACTCAAGAAAAGGTACTGTTACCCAGGCTTTTGGGGGTTTTAAAATTTATTTTATTATTTACTATTTATTTTGTCTTTTTTGGGACAGGGTCTCTCTGTGCAATTCAGCCTGGCCTTGAATTCACTTTGTATCCCAGACTGGCCCCAAACTGGCAGTAATCCTCCTGCCTCAGCCTTACCTAGGCTTCTGCAGTAAATCTTCACATGACCCCAAATCCATCCTACATGACTTTGTTTTCTGAACACTCTAGGGGTCTCAGAGTGATAAACCAAGAGACACTATCTTGAGGTCACACTCATGTTGGTACAGAGCAGCAAGGGTAGCCTGTGCTTCGTAGGCTTGTGGCCTCCAGGCATTTTCTTCCAGAAAAGGCCAATTTCATCACAGTTAAAATCTTGACGAGGGCAAAAGCCATATTTGTCTGTGTCACTGTTTTGAAGTAGTATATGGAATTCCAGCAGCCCTTTTATCAGCACTGGCTGCTTCATCCTGCCTACTTGCATTGTGAACCCAGGTCTTGCTTTAGGATTGTGACCCCACCCTTGCTGGCACAAAATGTTTAACCATTACCACTCGTTGATGGGTTATCCTTTATGAGATCTGCATTTGTAGCCCTAGCTTTCTCACAGATTGTAGACTCAAGCTATAACCTGCCATTTATCCACACTAATAACAGGCTTTCTACTTCATCTAACACTGTCGATTGACACTTACTAATTTGAGTAACATCTTTAGTAACACCAGCTCCTTATCCAGATCTGTTCTCTGTAAGTTTGTCAGATGGTGGATTTCAACATGCTTTACATATTAGTGAGATTGGTCACATGAACACCACTCATATTTCTCCAGTTTCCTTCTTTTCAATTGTGACTGCTTGCTTTCCCTTCCTCTTCTTCCTTAGCTTCTTTTCTAGCTTTTGGGGGGCCATTCTGATAGCAGTAACCATAGTGATTATATAAAGCACTGACCAAAATTATGTCCACAAACATACTCCTTTGGGCACAGACTGGTGCTTGGTGCATTCACATACACTTTTCTGGCATTGCAAGTCTTTAGAGCATTTGGGTCGTAACTCAAGATTTTGGTCACAAGTTAAACCTAAAATCCTGGTGTACCCCAAGTTGTTCATATGTGAACCAGTCATAACTCAAGGAGTCCACTGTATCTGACTCCAAAATTTATTTTTTCAAAGAATGACACATTTATTGGAAATAGGGGTTCCTGTTCTATCCTCAGTAGTAGATGTCAAAACTGGAGAAAACCATTTGTAAGGGCAAAAACATCAAATGCTAGTTCAGTAAAGACTTAATACATTTCAAAACAGTATTCAGACTGTTTAGACGGTCATTCAAAAGTGGTCTTACAGAATTTCTAAAAACATTAGAAGTTCATTCTGGCTGAGGAAAACCTTTGACAATTGCACGTCATAAACTTAGAATATAGAGAACAGAGGATGTGTTGTTTCAATGTAACCTCTGAGTTTGTAGTACTTTTCCTGTCTGTTTTTGTTAGGTTTTCCACTTTTTCATAACAGAAAAATTTAAATATACATGAAAACAGTCTTCTGACTCCACTCCTGGCTTTAACAGTGATCAATTCACCTACCAGTCCTACTTCTTCTCTACTCCACCCCGCAGTTCAATTTGTAACTAATGCCAGACATCAAATCATTTCATCTGTAAAGATCTAAGGCTCGTTTTTTAAACATAATCACCCCCAGTTCAATTTGTAGCTAGTGCCAGACCTCAAATCATTTTGTCAGTAAAGATCTAAGGTTTATTTTTTAAACATAATCACCCCCGATTCAACTTCTACCTAATGCCAGACCTCAAATCATTTCATCTGTAAAGATCCATGGCTCATTTAAAAAACATAACCACAAGAGCAGTAATTCCTGAACACTATCAAAAGGTCACTGTACCCATTTCAAGTAGTCTCATTAAACAGTCATTTATAGTACAGTTATTTGAATCTGGATCCAAGTCAGCTTTGTATTTTGTAATTGGTTCAGAAGTCTTAGGAATTGTTTTCTATCAACAAATCTCTCTTTCTGTTCTTTCCTTGCAATGTTTTGTAGAAAACCCAGGTAATCTGCCCTGGACGAAACA